TCCTTATTCAACAAACCCGATAAGTACATGAAGGGCCCCAAGAAGGGAACCACAATGTGACTATGCCAAGCCAGCAGATGCCACAGAAATTGGGGGACATCTGCAGAGTTTTGCAAGCTGCTAGCAACAGAGACTGTAAGTGACAAATGGGTAGTAGACACAGTGCAAAATGGGTATTCACTAGAATTCAGCTCCATTCCACCCAAGTGGTTTCTCCAGGTTCCAAGAAACCGATCCAGTCACAAACACCGGCTCCTTGAGGCAGCCATCCAGCATCTATTGGACATCAGGGCTATAGAACCGGTGCCCACGGGGTCTACTCAGTGTCCTTCATAGTGTTGAAGAAGAATGAGGATGTCAGGGCCATCCTGGACCTCAAATGGTTGAACAAAAGCATCAGAACAAGGAAGTTCAAAATCCATCGTAGCATCCATTCAGATGGGGGACTTCCTGGCATCCGTAGATCTCTTGGAGGCCTGTTTGTATATTCCTATATGAGAGGTTCATCGTGGGTTCCTCTGCTTCACATACAGCAGGTGGCACTTCCGATATCGGGCACTTCCATTTAGGTTGAAGTCCTCACCCAGGGTGTTCACCCTCTGTTAGCCCTGATTGTGCATCTGAGACTACGGGGAATATCACTGTTGCTGTATTTAGTCGACATTCTGATCAAGGCATACCCTTTTTCCAACAGGGCCTGGAGGCGGTGACCCAAACAGTGTCTTGCCTTTAGGAACATGGCTTTGTGACCAACGATAAAAAGAGCAGTCTCCATCCAATTCAGACGATCATACATCCAGGAGTGTACAACACGGTCCAGGACAGAATCTTCCTGCCTCAGGAGAAACTGGAGAAGATTCAAGGAGCAGAAGAAGTCCTAAGAAGTCAAAAGGTGGAAGTGATGTCGTTGGCACAGCTCCTGGGAATGATGGTATCTTGTCAGGAGGTACTACAATGGTCAAGGTTCCACACTCCAGAAGTTCCTGTTACCATATCAGGATGTGATTACACACAAGAGAACCAAGGTAGTTCAGTAACCAGGAAACTGAGTCAGGAGATCAACTGGTGGACAGCTCCAGTTCAGTTTCAGGAAGGACTTCCACTCAAGGAACCAGTGAGGACTGTGATGATTACGGATGCGAGTCTCTCCGGCTGTGGGGCTCATACCCAAGGAAGGATGACACAGAGCACCTGGTCGAAGGAGGAGACCAACAACAACAGCAATCTCCTGGGCGTTGGAGCACCCTAGACTTTTGGTCTTGGAGGACTTCAACGTCCATGCCAATGATGCAGCATCCAGTCAGGCTGCAGACCTGGTGTCGTTCATGGCGCCACTGGGACTCACCCAATTTGTATCAACCCCCCACGCACCAGGCTGGACACACGGTTTATTTGATCTTTGCAGTGGGGATGACAGTGGACCGGAGCCGGCAATAGCAGTGCCATGGTCGGACCACTATGCCCTGAAGGCCTGTCTGAATGTTCCACCACGACCCTGTTTAGGCGGCGAGCAGATTTTGGCTCACCCGCCGAGCCAAATGGACCCTGTATGGTTTCAGATGGCTCAGCGGGATCCGATGCCCCCTGGCAGCTCGTTGGATGAGCTTGTGGAGGACTGGCATAGCCGACTCTCCACAGCCATTGACGAGATCGCTCCCTGGCGTCCTCTGCGCACTCGCTCTAGGCTGGCTCCCTGGTATACCCAAAGGTTGCGGCATATGAAGCGAGAGCTGAGATGGCTAGAGAGACAGTGGCGTCGTGCCTGCGACGAAGCATCAAGAGCATCCTATAGGACATTTATGAGATCCTATGAGATGGCAGTCAAGGCTGCAAAGAGAGAGTTCTACACAGCTACAATTGCGTCTGCGAGCTCACGCCCAGCCCAATTGTTTCGAACGATTCAGTCTCTGACAGCACTGCCACAGGGCAGACAAAATAGTAGGGAATTGGATATTGGCTGCGAGGCTTTTGCGAGCTATTTCGTGGACAAAGTCTTGGTGCTCCGCCGTGATCTCCCCGCCACAGTTGAAACAGTGAGTGAACTTGAGGCCCCTTGTGCACCTTCGACTCTGGGTTTAGAGTGTTTCGGCCTGCTCAGTCTGGAGGAAGTTGACAGATTGCTTGTATCTATGCGTCCAATCACGTGCCGCCTTGATTTGTGCCCCTCCTGGCTCATTAAAGCGGGCCACAAGGGGTTTTGAGGTGCCGTCAGGGAGATTGTTAACGTCCCTCTTGGAGGGGTGGTTCCCAGTGGCACTCGAGGCGATGGTCTGTTCTCTCCTGAAAAAAACATCTTTGGACCCGGTTGAATTGGCCAACTATCGGCCGGTGTCCAATTTGCCCTATTTGGGCAAATTGATTGAGAGGGCGGTGGCAACACAGCTACAGGGCTTTCTGGATGACACTTCTGTCCTTGATCCATTCCAGTCTGGCTTTCGCCCAGGCCATGGGACGGAGACAGTACTCGTTGCCCTTACTGACGACTTCCGAAGGCATCTGGATCGAGGAGGTATGGCGGCACTGTTGTTGTTAGATCTGTCGGCCGCATTCAATACGGTCGACCATCAGTTGCTGACCCACCACCTCGCCGACACAGGGATACAGGGGCTCGCCCTTCAATGGCTTGTCTCTTTTCTCCAAGCTCAGGGACAGAGGGTGGCGCTAGGGGAATAGCAGTCCCGGAGGTACCCGCTCAAATGCAGTGTGCCTCAGGGGGCAGTGCTTTCCCTGATGTTGTTTAACATCTACATGCGCCCCCTTGCCCAGATTGCCCGGAGGCATGGGCTGGGGTGTCATCAATATGCAGATGACACCCAGCTCTATCTGATGTTGGGTGGCCAGTCGGATTCCGACCCAGAAGATCTGAACCGGACTTTACAGGCCGTGGCTGGGTGGCTCAAGCTGAGCCGGTTGGAACTAAACCCAGCGAAGACGGAGGTCCTGTGCTTGAGTTGGGTCGGCTTGGGGATCCCTCTCCCGACCTTCGATGGGACGCCTTTGGTGCCCGCGTTGGAGGTTAGGAGTTTGGGAGTGCTCTTGGATCCCTCCTTAACTATGGAGGCCCAGGTGGCAGCCACTGCCTAGTCGACCTTTTACCACCTTAGGCTGGCTCGGCAGTTGGTTTCCTTTCTCGATCGCAATGACCTGGCTACAGTGATCCATGCAACAGTCACCTCTAGGCTAGACTATTGTAACGCTCTCTACATGGGGCTGCCTTTGTCGCAGATCCGGAAGCTGCACCTAGTGCAGAATGCGGCGGCCAGGCTGTTGATGGGACTCCCCAAGTGGGAGCACATCCAGCCTGGGCTGAAAGCACTGCACTGGCTGCCAATAGCATACCGGAACCGTTTCAAAGTGCTGGTGCTTACCTTTAAAGCCCTATATGGCCAGGGTCCGACATACCTGAGGGACCGCCTTTCCCCATATAGACCTCTAAGAGCACTTCGGTCTGAGACGCAACATCGCCTGGTGATTCCAGGCTCCAGGGAGGCAAGACTTGCTGTGACGAGGGCCAGGTCCGTCTCAGTGGCAGCTCCTACCTGGTGGAATGAGCTCCCGGAGGAGATCAGGGCCCTGCGGGACCTAGTACAGTTCCACAGGGCCTGCAAGACAGAGCTCTTCCGCCAGGCTTTTATGTAGGAGCCGCCACTACCACCACCATTACCACCACTACCAACGGTGTTGGCAATAGATGGAGCAAAGAGACAGCCCTGCGGAAGATCTGGCCACAATACAGCACTGGGTTGGTACCGCTGGACTGGACAGTTTAACATCTACTGGACACTACCTACCTCCATGAAAAACCACCTACTTCTAATGAATGACCATCTTGTTTAAATCTGAGCACTTCGTTTGTAATATTCGTTGGTTTTCACTGTTTTTATCCTGTTTTTATGTATGGGCATATCTTGCCCTCTTGTAAGCCGCCCTGGGCCCGTTTGCGGGGAGGGTGGGGTATAAATAAATAAATAAATAAGCATACTGCTTTTTTACATCCCATAAGTGATGACTGACCCACTCCCAGGACCACCAGCGAATGGAAGATTTGTCTTCACTTACCTTGGAGCTTCCTTCTCGGTGGTCCAGGAGTGAGTCAGTCCTGCCCACCTGAGGGGTTTTTCTCCGTGATATGGCTTCTAGGGCGTCCGGGGTCTGTTGTACAGATGGAATGGTTAGGTAGATCCTGCTGATATCTTGCAAAGGAGGTACATCAAGTTTCGAGGTGTTTAGTTAGAATAGCCTAGGCATTTAGTTCTACAGCACTCTATCCTGTTTGGTGTTGAGTTTTTCCCCCTAACCCATTAAGAAGTTTCACACTAAGAAATTTTTTGGGAGCTTTTTCTCTTTTCTGTTATTGTTATGGGGAGTCAGGGCTTGGAAACGGACTGAGGTTTTCTGGGACAAGCCACTGTCCCTCTGGGATTGAAAGAGCTGATAGACCCTGCCTTCGGAGAGAAGGAGCTGTATCCCAGAAGTAAGGACTGACCCACTCCTGGACTACTGAGAAGGAAACTTCATGGTAAGTGTAGACAAACCTTCCATTTCATATATTGATTCAGGGTAACCACACAGATCTTTGACTGATATCTGTAGTTAATCAAATTAGTGTAAATGTGTTGCTTTGCTGAAGCAAAAATAATATTTTATACTTGTTCACAGATGTATCAGTCAGAAGTGGGAACACTAACAGAAGAAGATTTAACTTGTATTCTAAAGACTGCCATGGGTGTCTCAGACCTTAATGTATCAAACTTGTTTAAAGCTATAGACAAAGAAGAAAGGGGTACAATTACATATGGTAAGTTTAGGAAATGATTGTAAAATTCATACAAAAAGGAGAACTTTTCTATAGGAATCAAGTACACCCAGGAGCATCTGGAGGAGAGGGTTAGTACTGAAGAATGTAGAGCACGAATTTCCAGCAATATCTTGGCCATTCTTTAGTGAGTGCCTTCAGATATGTGAATGCGGTTGGGTCATGTTTTCCAGAATAGCAATAGGTGGAGCTTGATGAGAATCTGTGGTCCCTTACTACCTAGAATTTATATTCAATTCCATGTTTAGAGTCTGTGTACTACAACTGTGGGTCTGATGTAACCACAGCCTTGTTCAGAATAGACAGATAGGAAATATACTTAAGAGGGAAAATGTCCAGTCCAGGCCCAATTGAAGGTGTTTTAATGTATAGTAGGGGGCCGTGGTGGCTCAGAGGTTAAAACGCTGAGCTGCAGACTGGAAGATCGGTAGCTTGGCAGTTCAAGACCCGAGTGCCGCATGACGGAGTGAGCTCCCGCCTCTGGACACCTCCTATTTTTAGATTTTGAAATGTCATTATGAAATCATGCTGGGTACAGTTTTCCTAATTGGAACCAGAGATGGGTTCTTGAGGTGCCCAGTTGAAGCTATGGATAACATTCTCCTGAAGAAATTAAAAATGATCATTGTGGCCATTACGTGCGCTCAGCAGATATGGAAGTTGGGAAGGTTGTACTCCAACCCTAACCTGTGTATTTTCATCTTGACAAGGCATGCCAACTGTTCTCATAGATTACAAGAGCAGGGAGAGGCTAAAAAGGTAAAGGTTCCCTTGCTCGAAAGCCATCCAACTCTAGGGTTGTGGTGCTCATCTCCGTTTCAAAGCCGAAGAGCCAGCGCTGTCCGAAGACATTTCCGTGGTCATGTGGCTGGCATGACTAAACACCAAGGCGCACGGAACGCTGTTACCTTCCCACTGAAGTGGTACCTATTTATCTACTTGCAATGTCTTGCTTTCGAACTGCTAGGTTGGCAGGAGCTGGAACTAGAGAGGGGAGCTCACTCCATCATGCGGCACACTCGAGTCTCGAACTGCTGAACTACCGACCTTCCACAGCCTGCAGTTCAGCGTCTTAACCACTTGAGCCACCGCAGCTCCTAGGGAGAGGCTACTCTGGGTGAAATTTGTCTGCAGAGTTGCCACGTGGGTGCCTGTGCCTGAATTCATGGAAGTTTTGTGAAATCAACAATGATATTCGTCATGGTCTCTGTACAGTCCCACACATGGGTTGGGCGCCTGCGCACGAACTTGACTGGAGAACATTCCAGAGCTTGCCTCAGAAACCTTTTTTGGCGGGCTCTCTTCCCGCCCTGGGGAGCAGACACGCACTGCACATGCCTGGAGCGGGAGAGAGAGCCGCCTCCCACTCAGTTCTTCTTCGATTGCCTTCATGTTCACACCTCACTAGCATCGCTCTTCAAAGTGCCTCAGCTGAGTACTTTTCTCCTGGTTTTGTCTTCTTATTCTTCTCATTTCTCCTTATTCCTACTTATTCTCCTGAAAAAAAAAAAAATGAATTACTATTTTTCCTCACTTTCGTTTCTGTCTGCCGCCCCCCCTTGGCCGGGAGGTGTTTGTATGGGACTCACAAAATTCTTTAAGACGTGTCGCTGTTGTCCAGCCAAACTTACTTCCAATGACGGCCACTATCTTTGCTTGTTTTGTCTGGGCGAGTCTCACCGGGTTGATTCCTGTCCCCATTGTGTGAACTTTACCCATCAGGCCCACAGGAATAGGGCGGCCCAACTTAGAACGTCTCTCCTCAAGGCAGCTTTGCGCCCTACGATGTCTTCAGTCGTGTCCCAATCTTCTGTTCCGCAAAAACAATTGGACAGTGCGAAACCCCTAAAGCATAAGTCTAAAAAGCACAAAGACAAACAGTCGGCTAAGCCGAAATTGAAGCCCTCAATGATGACTTCAGCTCCGAAGCTCAATCCCGTAGTGATCTCCGGTCTCTCGACATCCACTCTGGTGTTATCTTCTGCGGCCCCGCCTTCACATAAGCCTAGCCTTCAGCCTCCGCCTCTGCCACCTATTTTGTCTTCACCGTCAGGGCGTATTCCACCTGGTCAGTGTTCAAAGTCGCCTGTCCAGCGCTCTTCCTCTCATCGTGCCTCTCAGTCTTGCTCCCGAGATTCCTATATGCCTATCCACCCTTTGGATGACAGGGAGCATTTCATGCGAAGTCGATCCAGATCCAGATCAAGGTCCCGCTATACTCGCAGACCACACCATTACCATCGCTTGTCCTCTCCATCAACACCGGCGTCCGATTATAGATCCTGATCACCGTGGAGGTCAGGCACCATAGAGCGTATTACCCTCGCTCTTACTCCAGATCTTCTACCCCTCGCCGAGATCATTACGACCGGTTTGGACAGACTGGCCACTACGGAGGCCAGCCAACTTCGTCCTATTCCAGGTGTTTCCATTTGGTAGCCTCAGTCCATTCCCTCCAGATGTATCGATGTCTGCAGATGCCCCGAAGTGTTCTCCATTAGAACCTCGGTATCGCCCTTTCGCTGATGACCAAACACCTATTGATGTCTCTCAACCGCTTCGATCACCTACTCTGGTCTCGGTATCTGACCATTCCGTGTCTGGTGATCTTGACCCTGATATCCTTCCTATCGAGGACGAGACCCGTCGCTCAGGTTCCATCTCTCCCACCAAAGGCCTGAAAGCCTATCTGGAGCTTGTTACTCAAATGGCCACAGTTCTTCAAGTGCAGGGTTCTACGGAAACTCCTGCAGTGACCGATGTCGTTGATAAGTTAGTGCAAGCAGATTTGCCACCGTCGACAATTCTCCCATTACTTTCGGTCCACCTTTTGGTCCTCATGGAGTCTAGGGACCATCCTGCCTCCGTCACTCCAATATCAAAATGTTATGATGGCCTTTATAAGTTTCAGGAATCTTCTGGAAAATTCTTGTTCAATCAGCCTCCACTGAACTCGATAATTGTTCATTCCTCTTCTAAGTCTAAACAACCTGTTCAACAGTCCACTTCTCCCGACCATGAGGGAAGGAAGATTGATGCTATTGCCAAGAAAACTTACTCCATCGCTTCCATGAACCTTAGAATCAATACCTATCTGTCGTACCTTTCCGCATATGCCTTTAATGTAGCCACTGCCATTCGTCCGGTTCTTCAGTTTGTCCCAGAGGAACATCACTTTACTTTGTCTGCTGCTTTATCCGAAATTTGTGCAATGTCCAAGCAACAGATCAACTCCATTCGTCATGCTGTCACCTGCTCTTCTAAAGTCCTCACTTCTTCTATCGCACTCTGCCGTCATGCCTGGGTTAGGAGCACCTCCTTGCAGACAGATGTTAAATTCAAAGTTGAGGAGCTGCCCTTTGATGGCAATGGACTTTTTCACTCCACTTCAGATGAGGCTCTGAAAGCTGTCAATGACAGCAGGAAACAAGCTCGAAACCTTGGAGTTCCTACTTCAACACCAAGGCCTTGATACCATTCCTGGAGGCCTTACTACAATAAATGTCAGCCGTCGCCTGCTACTACCTCGCAGTGGAGAAAGAAATCATATGACTCCCGTTCATCTCAACGACCATGACAGCAGGCCCCCAAGAAGCCCCAGCAGCCCAAGCAGTCCATTTGATCACCTCAAGGGCCTGCCACCGCCTCCTTCATTCACCCTTTCCATTTGGACGCGACTCTTCCCCTTCCTTCCAACTTGGGAAGAAATTACCACCTACTCCTTGGTCCTTACCATTGTACGAGTCGGGTATGCCATAGAGTTTGCTTTGCCCCCGATCCTTTCTCACTTTGTCATCACGCTCCCGAATCCATCGCTTCACCTAGAGGTAGATGCGGCTTCTCCACAAGGGGGCCATCAAGATCGTCCCGGAGGCACAACAAACTCTCGGCTTCTACTCCAAGTACTTCCTAGTCCCCAAACAAGATGGCAGTTTGCGGCCCATCATAGATCTTCGAGATCTCAATCGTTTTGTTCGCTGCAAGAAATTTCGAATGGTCACTTTACAGTCCATTCTCCCTCTTCTCCCCAAGTCTGGGTGGCTGACGTTGATAGATCTTCAAGATGCCTATTTCATGCCGTCATACTGTCCGCTGTACACATCCCTGGCATTCAGAATGTAGACACCGATCTTTTGAGCCGCTCAGTCCCACAAGACAACGAATGGTCCCTCCATCCCCGATATCTACGACCGGTCTTCCTCGAGTTCGGTCACCCGACCGTCAATGGTTTTGGCACCTTGCAGAACGCCCGGTGTTGCCTCTTCTTCACCCGTGGTCCGCCCAGTCTATGGGAGATGCGTTCCTTCACAGATGGACGGGGACCCTATTTTATTCCCCCCCTCCCGTTTCCTCTCGTCTTCAGGGTGCTTCAAAAGATTGTGGCCTACGCCACCTCCTGCATCCTCATCACCCCTTGGTGGCCACACCAAGTGTGGTTCCCTCACCTCTGTCTCTCCAACGGATGGTTCCATCATCCCCTCATGTGCTGGATCTTCTGTCCAGGGATTGAGGCCGGATCCTCCACCACAACACGACCTTCTTCAGGCTCACGGCGTGGAAGATCCTACAGTAGACTTCCCACCTATGGTGTTGAATGTATTGCTTAACGCAAGGAAACTGACTACCCGCAATACCTATTGTCTGAAGTGGAGGAGGTTCCAATCTCATGCCTTGCAACACTCCTTCGATCCGACCCACACTTCTCTACAGGAGATTTTCTCCTACATCGTGTCCTTGAAGGAATCTGGCCTTGCATACTCTTCTTTAAGAGTCCACCTGGCTGCCATCTCAGCATATCACCCCTTAATACAGGGCTCTACTGTCTTTTCACACCGCCTGACAAAGTCTTTCCTTAAAGGGCTCCTTCTTCTCTGCCTGCCTCGAAAGCCGCTCATGCCTTCCTGGAGTCTGTCTCTAGTTGTTGTTGTTTTTAATATATTTATTGGATTTTTATGCATAATTACAGACTCCCCTCACCACCCCAACACAAAAACCAAAGTAGACATACACAGACACTATAACTATTTCCTCAACACATCACAGTGATCATCCAGCTTGGTTATAAATTGGTGGAAAATGTGAATTCTCACTATTCCAATACTAACCAACTAAAATTTCACATTACGTAGCTCAAGTTCCTCCTAAATTCATCGAACCAAGTCGTTGTAAACTTCCATATATATTTTACTACAACTATTACTCAGTCTTCCTATTCATAAGACATTATAATTAATTCAAAAGTCACTGACTAATTTTCTGTTTGGTTCACTTGTAAATCAATGAATAAAGTTCATTCTAATTTTAGAGGGGTATACACATTCAATTAAAATTTTCAAATATCAATCACCTACAAAATTTAACTTATTCATTATAACAAAACAAGTAGAATACATACCTTAAACAGCACAAATCCCATTAGTACTTCTAATATATTGCTACTAAAAATTACCTAACAATAATTCCCCATCTCAATTAATTTACCAATAATAAAAAATATAAACAAAATTTAATATATCTGAAATTACATTTTCACCATCATCCACTTCTTTCTTACAGATACCTATATATAAATGTTACCTACATCTCAATAGCCACTGAAAGCTATATCATTTTAACTTATCTTTTTCCATACCATATAACCACCTACTAAGAAAAAGAAGTAGAAAGGCGGAAGAAAATTATTAAGAAGAAAGGAGTGAAGAAAGAAGGAGAGAGAGAGAAAAAAAAATCCAAAAAGAAATAAGAACCCCCCCAGAAAATATTTTAACGTATCAACAATGTAGAACTTATTTGCATGTAACTAGTAAAAAGTTTCTCATTACCATAACACCATATTTCATTTCCTTTTTACATCAGTCATTTATATCAAACAAGCAAATTACATAGGGCATAACTCTGTATCTTTTTCTTCCCCCATCTCTCCATAGCCTCTTTCCTCTTTTCATTCTCTTCTAGTTGTCGTAAATCTTTGTATTCCTGTGGTTCAATTTCC